CGTAGTTTTTCGTTAAATTTCTTTCTGCTATGGCATGAACAGTGCGGGCAAGCAATACGCTTCGAACATATGCATTTCGTGTGTTTACAGTTCTCTTTTCAGGTGACATTAATTTCATGTATTCCTACTAGCTCATGTTTCAAGTTCTTGATTTTGCTCGTTGTACATTATTCTCGTCGTGCCTGTTATTGTCAGTACTCATCCACTTGATTCGATTACGGGCTTTTTAGTGAGATTTCTTTGGTAGTCATTTCAACATCATTAGATTCCTATATTCTTTATTTAAGAATTCAGTTTTCATGGATTCGAGTGAATATCATTTCATAGCACTATTATTTTTCACTGACATATCCTGCTTTGGGTCATTTGTGCATTCACGCAAATAAAGAAACGCGATGAATCATTTACTCGTTTTCTAGTTTCTGAACGTCGGGACAAGTTAGATGGTTGGAATTTCTGAGGTATAATCTTCACAGCTTACTGAGCAGAAATTATTGGCGGTAACCCAGTGAGACAGGAAATGACATAAGGATGAGAAACAACAAGTGAATAAAGCGGATTGTTGATGGCAACATTAAAGTTAAATAACGCGGGGAAAGATATCGCTACTGAGCGCCCTCTGTAGAATAATGTGAATGAGAGAGACCCAAATACAGAATGGTGAAGTCACGAACTACATAAATAGTGATAAGGAAAGTAACGGAAAAGTAAAATTTGGTTGAAGTATCAAATTCTCCAGCCATATGTGTGTTCAGGAACTTAAAACCCGTGTTCATCTACTCCTCATCCGACAATTACGGCTGTATTTGTCAACCGCAATTTAAAATCACGTACCAACAAGCATCTCTGTACGTCTCCCAACAATTTACTCGAAAAGGTTGCAATAAACGCATGGTTAGGGGCAACTACTAAAACTCAGCTCGGCTCGGCCGGGCCAAGAGTCGAGTTGTGCTGACTCGGGGGAGAGGAGCGGAGGCACGGAGAAGGATGAGGATAGGAGGGTGTCCTTTCAAGTCTCGGAGACCGTAACAGAGGGAGAAGGTAAGATTCTTGACTAGGAAAGAGCTGAGACCTTGGTTGGAGGTTGGCATTGGGAACAGAGCACTTGTTCTATGGGGAAAGGGGTGCCGCTCAGGTTTTTTTTGTCTACCATGAAATTTAGTGTTGAGAGAAAGTTGTCGGTCTTGAACACGATTGAACCTTAGCTGGACAAAAACCCGGCATTACGGTTCTCGCTATTCGAACCCGAATCCGGAAATGCCGTCATACTAAGCGGACAACTTCTGCTCAACACAAAGTTCCATGCTGGGCATAAAAACCTACAAGGGAACATCCTCTTCCTTCCCAAAGTCCCCCCTGCTCTCAGTTCCTATGAAGATCTTTCCACTCAATAACCTCGGTCCTTTCTCTCTCCGTACAACTCCCGAGACCTAAACCGCCAACCGCCATAAGCAGCTACTAAATTCCAGCTCGGCGCAGATACATTGTAAAATTGTGGTACATAACGCACCCGTTTCTGCACTAGTGAGACATCATAGGTGTGTTTTTCCGAGCGCTTGGGTAACCTTGTTGGGCTTGAAGAGAGGGAAGGTTTTTTTTTTATCCTGCATCACATTTCCTGAAACACCAAAGGTGAATCGAAATATCGCTTGCAAAATGTCAATTCGGGAATCGGAGTAAGTTGAATGCCTTGACTATATACGAATGTTTGTCCATACGCTGGCATAAAATGAGCAGAAAAGTGAGTTTTATGGTACATTCGTATCAAGTATTCTGACGCGCCAAAGATATCATAACGAGAAGCGATCTCGTGAAACACTTAAACTAGGAGGAAGCTGAAATTTCTCGATGCCCATGTGTGACCTAAATATTCCA